AAGGTAAGAGCTCACAGGTGTTACTTATGTGAGGTCAGAGTTCAACATGAGGTTCAGGTTCTGTTTAATCTGGTAGTGTTCACTTAATACATAAAAATGTTTTCAATATAAACATTATTTTATTTTTGTTTGATTTAAAGATGTCCGCCATAACAGTAGGATGTCTGGATGCCTATAAAACTTCTGTCGATGTTACCTGTGATTCTGTGGACAGCAGTATAAAGGTAAAATATCAAGTGTCTGTTGTATTTACAGCATTGCTGCTCACAGAGTGGAGAATAACACTTCTCATCTGCTCTGTTACAATTGATAATGGAAAGATTTAAGATACATACCATGGAGTATAGTGTACTATATTTAATAGGTTTCTCATCGCTCACACACAGATAACATCTTAGGTCACTCAACTTGAACAGGGGATCTGGTAAACCTGAGATATATTTAGATTTCTATGATAAAAAGTTGTGACAATTATTAGAATAATTGCTACTGATCAGTGAATACATATAATGAATTTGAAAACAATATATAATGAACCAGTTACAGTTATGCGTGACCTGTTTTCGAATTAGTTCAACTCACAGTGAAGTCATTCAGGAAATGATTTGTGGTTTGACAGAATTTTGAAGTGATTTGATGTGCAAAACAAATTTGAATTTCCTCACAAACCATCAACTCTGTCCTGGAGTGACTAATAATATATATAAAGCAAGGGAGATAACCATGTGTATTTGTTATGGTTTAGATTATTAACTGGTAGAATATACCTATGTTGACATACCAGCAATTCTCTATTTGCTTTTACCTTAAGATATAATAGCTGCAGAAATGAAAAACAGGTATGTGACTTTAAACAAAATTAGTTTTGGTTTAAATGACAAAATGTTATAGTAAGCACTGAAGCAGCATGTTCTAGAACAAGGACTAGTGCTGAATACAGACATATATTGAGCAATTTGCTTGTTTCTGAATTCTTTTTGTTGTTATAGGAAGATTGCACTTCATTTTCAGGAGAACAACTCCACAGTACAATAGTGAAACCAATGCATTCTGTCTACTGCATTCATTAATATTGTAACAGAAAGAGAATAGTATGCTTCCACCTGGGATCGAACCCTCGATCTTCAGATTCCTAGTCTACCACTGAGCTAAAGGGAAGTTCCCTCTAGCTAATGCAATGTACAATAAGAATCAACAAGATAAAGGTACATCTTGGTATGGAAATGACACAAGGCTACACACATCATTGACAGTTGGTGTAGGAGTTTTGAATATGACTACTCACAATAGCAGAGTTATAGCTGCTTCATCAATCCCGTGTATTATTATATAATTGCTCTTTAATGTCTCCTTCAGGCGATGTACGCCTTAATGGCCAAGTGTGAAGAGCTGAATAACAACATGGGACCAGTATACCGACTAGGGGACCAGATGTATCCTTCTACACTTGTAAACTGGCTTGTATAGTAAAACAATATAAGCAGTGTGTGACATGGATTTTCATTTTTAGTTTATCAAGTCATGAGGGGAAATAGAAATAAATATTCCAAATTCTTCTCCTTCTGTACAAATGGAGGGGTTTTGACCAAATTTGGCCAAGAGCAACCTAAATGGAGTTTGTGCCCCCCTCCCCCAGGGGGCAGATGAGTGGGGCCCAATAGGGGGAAATAGAGGTAAATCAATAGTATGAATTGAGAGATTTTATCCCCACCCTATAAGTATAACCAAATATACAATTGCTAGACACAAAGAAAAAAAAACATTTATGCTATTAGGATTGGCCCAGAGGTCTAGATCCACCCCTGGAGACTACCTCCCTGTCATAACATTGAAATAGTTGAGATCCCTACGCTATTACCATATACCAAATTGCTGGGCATGAAGAATACACTAATGTTTTTGGTGTCTAACGCACCAAAATGGATTTAGTCCTTCCTGCCGTTTGTATTTCATGTACCAGTACTTCTTTGATAAACTGGAATGGTAGTCAGCAGGTTCTAAATTGGAAACAAATTACCAGGTGAGCTATTAAGGCCCCTCAGCCTCTAGTCATGTCCCTGTTATATAGTGAGGTTATGAAGTGTTTGCCATTTCCTTCGATCCATCTTTCAACCATCCTGGTTAGACTAATACTGAAAGTCCAACAGTTATTTAAACTTCGTATGTGGATGTGGACGAGTATAACATTAAATGTAGGTCAATGTGACTTATTTTTTCTGCTTCATTCACTTTAGTACGACTTTGTGTTCAGCTCCATTCTGTCATTAGACTTCGGGTTGTTCTCCATTTCCATCAAAGCTGAAGCATATACATGTTTTACAATCATTCCCTATTCCATAAACTGGTTTGAATTACACACAGGTTCTAGAAATGTAATTGTGTATACTAGGGACTAAACCAGATTTCAATGTTCATTATTATTCGATGTAATTGTTACAATCTTTGAGTGTTAAACAATTTACTACTTTCCTTGACCGACGGCATCAGTAAGGAAATCAAGAGACTGCTGGACAGGTTTGAGTCCCAGCTAACTGACAACACATCCTGACCAAGCTACCCACCCAAGGAACCAACTGGGGCACAACTCATGTGTCAAACTGCACAGGACTCTAATCCGTTTGCTGAAGTGTCCTGTGGTGGATTCAGACAGTAAACAGCCCACCTGATATGTGCAATATATTTACATTTATTCCATAATGACAACATCATAATTTTTCATTTTTCATTTGTCTTATTTCTAACTTGATATTTTTTTTTCTATGTCATGTGATTTGAGGTTTGTTGTACATGTACTATTGATATTGCTTAAATTATTTGTTATCATAAAAGAAATAATTCTGACATAAGTCTCATTTTTCAGTGAATGTAAATATTTCTGTAATTGATCAATAATATTTAATTTTATCCTACCTCTTTCTATATAAGATATTTGTATTGCTTAATAACCACCCATGACCCGTCAAAATGTCATTTGACTGAAAATGGTGATGTCCTCATCATAAACGGTCACCAAATCATGGAAATAAGAATTATTGCACAAGCTTAAGCTTGTCATGAAGGCCTTGCATGCTTTGTAATTAAAATTGAGGTACAATGTATTTAAACTTGGTTAACCATAAAAATATTTTCTGCTCTATCCGAATGTGGTCTTAGTGCCTATGTAGATTATTTAGAAGTTTTGCTACATTATTGTTGCATCAACATTACTGATGTCATTCCTTACCAGCACTTTGGTATCAAATGATGTGGAAGAAAACGAGTCAATTATTATGTAGTTATGGGCTTTATGGGAGCCAGCAAAACAGGTGTAGAGTTTAGGATCAAAACCTCGACAAAAGCCTCGATTTATGTGATATTTGTAATGTCAAGTCAAATGGCAACTATGCACAACCTCAAGATTTTTCTATTTTAAAGCTTGGTTTTGATCTTTTACCAGATGACTTATATCATTCGAGTACAGTAGATCTCTTTGTACTGTATAGCGCTTTAAATTCACGGTTGGGGGCCATATTTTGCAGTTTCGTATTCAGTACATATTTGCGGGGGGTTAAATTTCGCTGTGCACCCAAATCCCATGTGTCTTGCAAAGTATTTTGAGTGTCATCATTTAAGAGTTAAACCTCGAATTATAGGTAAACCGTTTGGAAACGCTGATCCAGAGCGTCATCCGCCAGTGACAGCACTCTAAAGAAAATCAAATGTGTATGTACCTTTGTAGGAGTAAACTGTAA